GAAAACTAAAGGGAAAACTAAAGGGAAAAACCCAAATAGATGTCTTACGCATGCGTATTGACTGTGGGTATGCTGGTCTGACGGGGTATGCTCATTTGACAGAGCAGCGGCATCTTCAGCAAATAATGGCACAGCACTTAGCCATGGAGGGAGCTCGGTGCGGAGCGCCCTCTGGCTCGGTGAAGACAATAGTTTTCAAATTTCGTTTTGCAGTTTTTTCTTTTTTTCAGGTTGAGTTTTATTAAATGCTTGCTTTCAATCTAGCAGATGTTATAGCCTTCACTCCTGTGGCCTGTAAGATGCAGGATTCTGATTGGTCAATGTGAAAATCAAGAGCGAGCGTTTCTATCGGGCTTCAATAGGAAGTGATCTGTAGGAAAAAATGAATTTAAGAACTGATTGTTTGTGTGTCTATCAGCCCTTTATCAGCTGGTTTCAGTGAAATGTTTCTTCTTCCTGTTCTCTAACGGTTTTCATCCCCGTCTTGTTCAGTGATGACCAGCTGGAGGACTCTGACAGCGAGGAGCCTTCACGCTCCGAGTCCATAACGGGTAAGCAGCCTGCCGCAGCGTCCTCTGCTGATACGTGATGGAAGATCAGCAACGTTCAGACTGTCCTTCCCCATGTTGTTCCAGGTCAGCCTTCCCAGTGGGAGAGCATGGACCTGAGCCTCAGCGTGACGGCGCTCAGCGTGCTGCAGCAGCCGGAGAAGCTTCAGTGGGAAGTGGTTGCCAGTGTCCTGGAGGACACCGTCAAAGACTTGGAGGAGCTGGGAGCCAACCCCTCCTTAAACCAAACCAAGGCGCACAGCCAGGCCAAACCAAAAGACAAGGTGCCTGACCACCACAACATTCCCTTTCCCTGCTTGCTAGCGGGAGGCCTGCTCAGCTACCGCTCAGCCTCCATCGCCCCCGCGGCCGCCGCTCCACCGGCCTCCACATCGACACGCAGGACCACCGACGGCCCGCTAAGGACTCAGGCTGCTGAGCCGCTGGCTGCACCTCCACAGGAACACGGTCCAATGGAGATAGATCCCTGCCACCCCCAGACTGGTGCCCATGAGCAAGGCTTCTCTAACTTGGCTGGTTCTAAGCTGCTGAGTCCCTCCTCTCTGCCTGCCGTGCGCAGGACCGTCCCTGTGCTGCTGCTCTATAGCATTAGAGAGGTTGATGACAAATCCTCCGGGCAGGTGTTTGCTCAGATGAACAGTTTGATGAGCAAAGGTCTCCAGGAGGAAGGCTTCACTGTGCCACAGATAATTGAGATGGAGTTCGATACCCACGAGCAGCTGCTTCTTCAGGATCCTCCCATCACTTACATTCAGCAGTTCGCCGACGCCACTAATCTGGGCGGGATAGACGGACACGATAAATGGAGCACGTTGGCAGCGGCGTCCAACCCCCCCCGCCCTGGAACGCTGGTGCAGTGCTTAAGGCTGCCCAAGCAGCTGGAAGAGGAGAGCCTGTTTGTGGACTCCATCACGCCGTGCTGGGATGGCGTCCACCTGCTGGTGGGGCTGAAGCCTTGCAGCTTGGAGTCGCTCAGCGCCTCCAACCAAGTGGAGGCTCTGAACAACCTGAACCGCCTCCACTCAGCGCTCTGCAGCCAGCGAGAGGCAGACCCCCTCCGCCCGCTGGCCAATGGGATGGAAGGCCATCACCCAGGGGGGTCCCCGCCTCAGACCCCCTTCATTGTACCCCCAGGAAACCAGCAGCAGGAGAGGGCCCAGAGCCGTGGGGGGGGAGGGGGCTACCTCGCTCTGTACAAGTTCAACTACTCCACCCGCATCGTCACCCTGGAAGAGGAGCCGGTTAAAGTCCAGCACATCTGGGACCCCTGCGATGCCATAACCTCCCTGATCCTGCTTCCCCCAGATGTGCTGGACAGCAGAGAAGATGAGAGCGAAGAGACCCCAGAAGAAGCTCTGCTCTCCGCTTCAAAGAACGGTTTGTCCGAGCCGGGAGTCGAGACCGCATGTGAAGCGGCGCCAACCGGCAGCGCCGGTAACGTCTCCAGTCCCTCCACCTCTGCCTACGCCCACAGAGACTGCAAGAAGGCAGAGATGGCGGGTCTAGGACACCTGGTTGTTACCACGCAGGCAGGCTTCATCATGATTTTGGACCTGTCCACCTTGGAGGTTCTGGCCAAAGTGGAACCACCCAAAAAAGAGGGGTTAACCGAGGAGGCTGACCCGTTTGTCTCAGTGACCTACTGCTCTGGGACGGACCGCCTTTGTGCCTGCACTAAAGGTAAACCTTCTGTTCCTCCTGACGGGCAGCAGGTAGAACCTTCAGCCCCCTTATTTCTTAGCAGTATGATGTCACTAAAACAAACCCTTTCATTCGATCCCTTTTTGATTTGAGGAGAAGTGAAGCTGTTGCACTCCTGTGCTTCTGCTCAGACCTCCAGGGTACCACTTTGGTTCTTGGTGATAAAGGGAGGCGTTTGTTTGGTCTTAGAACCTAATTAGAACCTTCAGAGATGTAGACCACAAGGACATCAGTCCTCCTGGTGGTCGACTCTTTGAAGACTAAACCTTTGTGGCTCACTTCTGATTCCTTTTAAGGTTCAAGGTTGAAATATTCAAAAGTTCTTTTATTTTTACTGTTCTTGTGGGAAAAGGTAGAAAAGCATGAAGACATAATTCAAGACAGAATGGAAATGTTCCTGACTGATAAACTGTCAGCATCTGTTAATTAATCAAGGCTCAATCTCAAGGAGAAAACCTCTTAGCTAACAGATGGAGCTCATCAGACTATGATTATTCAGTTCCCACTTATTAGCCAATCGAATACGTTAGTCATCAGTGCTACCAACAGGGGCTGCAACAAAAACAATAGGCTGTGGGCAAAAGCTGAATAAAAAAAAAACTTTAAAGGCCCTGTCACACCTTGCAGATCTAAGGGCTGGTTATCCTCCCACAGCAGTGTGTCACAGTGTCAGATCAGGGCTAGATGTTAACCATTGCCCTATCGCCCGGGGCAAGTAGTTTTTAGGGCAAGTGCAATGGTCGCAAAAAAATTTTATTTATCACTCAAAATTACTTTAAAATCACCTGTAAACGACCCACAAACGTTGCCGGCACCATTTTTGTTGTTTTTTAAACATTCTCGCGTGATTTGAAAAAGTTATTTTCCGCTAGATGGCGTGATTCAGCTCTTGGGGAGAGAATTCTGCAGAGCAGCAGCTGGATGATGAATTTAATCTATACTATAATACACGCTAGATTAAAAATGATCAGTCAGGGATTAGGAAAATAATAATAAATGTATGCGCACAGTGTAAATATTTCTATCATATGGCAGTCTTCTGTATAGTGGTCATACATTAAAAAATGTTCATTAAATTTTTTTCTCTTAGACATTGGAGCGGTGCATTTAAATGTTATAGAGCTAAACTTGTTAAATTAGTGAGTAGTAGTGTAAGTTTTTAACCTGTCAAGTTTTTTTTAGATTTTTAACATTACAATTTATATTTTTCCAAGCAAACAACAATTTAAAGCAAAGTTTAGTTTGAAAAGAATGTGCAGGAAGGATTGAAAAACAGGTTAACACGGTAATGTAGGCCTGAGTTCATTATCTGACGCATGCATATACACACCAGGAACCTGGAAACTTAAAAAATACTGAATTACAAAAAACATTTAAAAAACAAACATGTTTCATTGATATATATACAAAAATGAATATTAGGAACTATATTCATCAAACATTATACTGGGCAAGTAAAAAATGTTTCTGAGCAAATGAAATGTGAAAGCCACTTGCCAAAAGGGCAAGTGGTAAAAATGCTTAACGTCAACCTCTGCAGATATTTTGGATTTATATTGAAGCGTGGTCTGCACTATGTTATTCCTCGCCAAAACGCAAGAGGGTCAATCAGGAACTAGCTGTGGGTCTAGATATGGCCGAAGCGGTAAGGAAGTGGGGGAAAGTTTGAGCGACAACGGAGGAACATGAGGGGCAAAAAGAGCGGAGATCCAGGTGGAAAAAGGGTCCCAGCGTTCTCACGCAGCTCGTCTTTATACCTGGTCCATCTTCACGAGTCGTTTTCCACAATGCCGGTCACACAAACAAAACAAGCCGGTAAGGTACCAAACAGGAAATACACATAGTGTAGAGAGGATGTAGACCATTTCTGTTAATGAAAAGAAAGCGTTGGGACAGTGAGAACCATTATCCATAATAGAACAGGTATCAGCAAATTGCGGCTTCGGAGCCGCAAGTTATTCTTTGGCCCCTCTACAACGGCTCTTAGATGTGGCTAAACAACTATAAAGAAACAAGTAATGCTTTTAAATAGTTTATTAACCAGTACTATTCTTAGAAGCCTAAAGGTTGGTTTACACTCAGAAACCAGGTTGTCTGCGTGTGTGTTGCAGTTAACAGAGATATGCCCCTGCCCTTCTGCAGACACTCTGCTACACCTCTCCAATATTGTAGGTGACGGCAGACAGGAGGCCTCTGATTGGTCAAATCTATATCCGCTCTACACTATGCTTATTTCCTGTTTGGTACCTTACCGGCTTGCAGACATCCCAAGTCTCCCAGACGTTCCTGGAGTCTCCTTGATATTGATAGTTGTTCACGAATGCCCGCGAGTCGGATAAATTATCCCAGATTTTAGACTATGCAAGGTGGTGTTTTGTTAATATGAGTGAGAGAGTGCAGGCAGTACAGTAATTAATGCATCATGTGAGGATTAGAAGTACTGCATTGCACAGACAACAAAAGAGAGGTGGGTCATGGGAGAAGGTTGCTTGTGAAACCGGTGCGTATCTGTCCAAAGTGACGCTCTGTTCAACCAGCATTCCAGGTGACTGGTTGTCAGAGAGCGCGCTGATTGGATTAGTCAGAAAAATAAGCCAATAAGTTTCAATTAACTCTCTGACAGTCACCTGGTTACCAATCAAAGCTGTGCATCCTGTGAAATAGGTTGAATCCTCGAGTAAAAAACGAAAATATAAGACTAATTTTACAGCAGTATATCCATGTCTAGTACAGGTGAAGAATGATGAAGTGTGTATGGGGCACGTTTCTGGTCGGTTGTGTACGGTGGGGTGGGGGCGGGGGTTTGGTGTTCGAGAAGCATCTCCCTGAAATTAGTTTTTGGAACTTGGGATGTCTGGGCTTATTTTGTTTGTATGACCGCCATTGTGGAAACCGACTTGTGAAGATGGACCAGCTAGAAGAGCGAGGTGTGCAAAAATGCTGGGACCCTTTTTCCACCTGGATCTCCGTTCTTTTTGGCCCTCATGTCCCTCTGTTGTCGCACAAACGGCTAGTTTCCTGATTGTCCCTCTTGCGTTGTGGCGTGGAATATCCTAGCGCAGACCATGCTTCAATATTGGACATAGATCAAAAATATCTGCGTCATACCTGCTACACATGCTGTGGGATGATAACCAGCCCTTTAGGTAATACTTGAATTTAATTTTTACAACAGAATGACCAGAACCATGAATATGTTTTAGGATGTCTGAAGTCATTAATGTTTATTTTTAACATAAAATAATTCCTGTATAACAAAATCCATACTCTGTCTTTATGGATGTCATTTGTGATGCAGATGTTATGGATTTTCTGTTCGCTCGTGTGTCTGATTGTATAAGTCAGAGTTTTTAGGAATAAAAATATTACTCTCATCTAATTTAAAGGCTTAAAAACTAAAAATACGTACAAACTCTTTGGCTACGTTCACACTGCAGGCCTTGATGCTCAATTCCGATTATTTTGTGAAATCTGATTTTTTGCGTTGCCGTTCACATTTCCAAATGTATGTGATCTCCTGTGTGACCTGCAGTCATACAACGCAAGTGTCCCGCATGTGCAGTAGAGGACGCAATGACATAACAGGCCAGCATGCTATGTGTTTACGGAAGTAAACATGGTGGGTAGTGCCGGAGGGCATTTTGCGATCTTTTTCAAACATAGAGACACAATCTTTTTAAGATGGTTAAACATAAATACTGCTTTCCGCATCATCGTCCGCCATGGTTGTTGTTTTTATTGTCGCTTCTGTCGACCAAGACGCAGAATAGTGACCGTTGTCGGGTATTTAC